ATTTCAGATTCAGAGTGATAGAAAGAAAAAAATATTTACAGGGGGGGGGGAACTATTAGTACGAAACTAAGAAAATCTACTCCTTTAAAAGATTCGGATTCAATCAATTAAATGCAAATAAAAATACTTTCAGAGATTTGTCACAAAGAATTAATAATACTATTTCAGATTGACCCTATTCCAGACTCTTTATCAAGAGTTGCAAACATTTTCACAAATGGGTCGATTTTAAAGTGTCACAGCGTATTTGGTTTTTGATTTTACCTTACTGACTCACCTATCATTTTTCTCTAGCACTAGACCTGATTTTTGCTGGATTTGGATTTAGGTTATTTTAAAAATTCCAGATATAAATGATATAGTTAAAAAATTCAAGATGGTGGCGGATGAGAGAAAGGAGTTTCTGATCCACCAGGTTTATTATCATTATCATTATTATTGTTATTTTTACTATTATTATTATTATTATTATCGTTAGGCTGAAATATATATATATATATATATATATATATATATATATATATATATATACATATAGTATATAGAGTTAGAGCGGGACAAAAGGCTTATATTTACCAAATTGGTTGATACTTTTTGGGATAAGATAGAACAAAAAAATTTAAAATATTAGGTCGATATTTTGGTTTGTTAAATTCCACGGGAAACGCCGGGCACTTCAAACTGATAATCTTTATATCCTTAATAATTTTTTCACACCAAAACAAAGTTATTCTTATAATGTATTAAACCTATGTTATATTTAAAGGGAGAGACCGGCAAAGTATGGTAGATGAACTGAGAATGTAATATTGAGGAGAAATTTGTTAGGATTCATTTGAGACATATAAAACGTTTTAATGATGTCAAATTTCTGAGTTTGAGCGCAAAGTCGACTTTCAAAATCATTAATTTGTGGATGGTTACGTTTTGAGAATCGATCAAATAACGACGACAAAAATTTAACAAAAATTCTATAGTTAACTAATCAGTTGTTAAGGGTACAGGTTGAGATAATAAAAATTATCTCTTCTCATCGAAAATAAGTAACCTATAACTTCATGTACATGTCTACTTGTTTCCGAACATTTTCTGTAGATTTTTCGATAATTTTTCACAGTAAGCCCCTTTCATTTTTCGCAAACACTCTCTTTAAAGGGAGTGTTCGCGAAAAATGAAAGGGGGTATAGGCTTAATGCGATAAAAAATCGCTTTTGATCTCTACTAATCTTACTTCTCTGTTGCGTCTATAAGGAGAAAATTGTTAAAGACGTCTCATACCGAATAACTTAGCGTCTATACAAATTGAGAAAATTGCAACATACTACTTAGACCGTAAAAAAATCAATTTAATTTCAAACAAATCATTCAGATATTACAACCTATAGTCATCGATTATCTTTCGCCACATTTGTATATAGTTTATATTTTATAATATTCTATTTTTTTAGAAAACGTTTTTAAGATTTCGAAAATTGTGAGTGGTGCGCGGCATTCTTAGATAGTTGCGCAAGCGACTAGAGAAATAAACAAATTAATTAAACAATATTATAAAATATAAACTATTTACAAATGCGGCGAAAGATAATCGATTACTATAGGTTGTAATATCTGAATAATTTGTTTGAAATTAAATTGATTTTTTAGACGCAACAGATAGAAGTGAGATTAGTAGCGATCAAAAGCGCTTTTTTATCGCATTAAGCCTATACCCCCCTTCATTTTTCGCAAACACTCCCTTTAAGACAGAAGAAAAAACAATCAAAGATATCAATTCTTACAGATTCAGCTTTCTATGAACTGTTGTATTTTTAAGACAGGGTCGACTTTGAAGTGTCGCAAAGCATTGGACTTTGATTTAATGGTTAACTCACACATACTAAACATCGTGAACAATTAATAACTGTAAAGCACTTGTTTTTAGCTTTAGTCTTTAAGAAGTAATTGGCAAAATTCTCAGATTTTTAGCGTAAGAGCTTGCAACACACTAATCACAGTGAAATAATGGAGATACGTTAAAAGTTGGTCCCTTCCGCTTGTTTTCATAGTTTACCCGAAATTATCATAAAAAACTAATAGCACATAAATTATTAAACAAACTCCGTTTTCCCCTTTGTAATGGTTAGAAAGTATGCACATAAATAAAGTAACTAAATAAATTAACAGATAAATAAACAAATAAAATAAATAAACAAATTAACAAAACAAAAAAATAAACAAATAAATAAACAAATAAATAAATTAACAAATAAATAAACAAATGAAATAGATTAATCACAAAGGTGGACTAATTTCCACAATGCCTATAACTCTATATAGTCTAGACGATATTAAGATTAATGAAAATACATAAAGTATTATTGAATTTGTTTTTATATTTTACCTGTTAGTTCGCTAATCGTTTTAGCTTGGCAATGACAAGTCCTTTATTAATGCTTTGATTAAAACCCCAACTTATTTGTAAACAATGTTAAGAGTTAATTTTTATTTTCTCAACCTGTTCCTAAACAACTAATTAGTTTACTGTAGAATTTTGTTTACATTTTTTGTCGTCGTTATTTAGTAATTAAAAAAAAATTCTGAAAACGTATTCACCCAAAAGTACGATTTTAAACGTCGACTTTGCGCTCAAACTCAGGATTTACAGATCTTTAAAACATTTTATATGTCTCAAATGAATCCTAAAGAATTTGTCCACAACACTGCATACTCAGTTTAACTACCTTACATAGCCGGTCTGTCCCTTCAAGCATTTTACCTGATTATCATATTTAGATAAATTCAAAACATTTTTGTTCTAAAGAACTCTTCAATCAGAGAAGAATATGATTGAAAAAATTTAAGATTCCAATATTATCTTCAATTTACTGAAGAGTTTGTCAGAAAATGTTTAAATAAGGTTTTCCAATTTTATTGGTTAGCTCTGAAATATATTCTAGGTATAGGCCTCCAGCCAATTATATTGGTTAGCTCTGAAATATATTCTAGGTATAGGCCTCCAGCCAATTTTGTGTTAAATCTCAACTATGATGTCTCTATTCAATTTATTGGATCAATCTAACTCTATATTATATAGAAGGTTACTAACAAAGAATAAGACTTCAGAGACGACTGAACGGAATTTATACAGTCCGTGTTCTTTTAAATTCATGTGATTTGCTGCAAATATGAAATTCTTTCTTTCTTTGCCTGATCATTAAATAAGCCTTACAATCAAAACAGGCGTACGCAAAACATGGGATACACTTCAGACTTCAGAGACGATTAATATATTCTTTACGTAGAAAATTATTTAGAGATAATAATAAAAGGGAAACAGTGGCCGAATTTAAAGAGTTTGAGCGGTGGTTTAAATTTAAGCCGCGGCTTAAATATGACGGGTTCCACTTAAAATTGTTAAAAATGTTTCAAGATTTAAGCCGGCGCTTAATTTAAACCGGGTTTTGGCAGATTTAAACCGAGGCTCAAATTCTTTAAATTCCATTCAGTATACATTCATGGTCAGATAAACCTTGTTCAGTACACGTTTTAGCATTCGCAATTTAAAATTCTGTTTTGTCAGAACTTAGTTGTTGTTTTGCCTCCGTCTGAGAAGAAAAGCAATATTTATTCGAATTTTTCCTCTTTGCAAAAGATTTGGCTGCCGTGTCGAAGATTTAGCCGCTGTGCGACAGATTTGGCTGCCATACCACAAATTTGGCTGCCATGCCAAATATTTGGCTGCCATACCACAGATTTAGCTGCCATGCCAAAGATTTGGCTGCTGTGCCACAGATTTGACTGTCATGAAACAGATTTGGCCGCCATGCCAAAGACTTGGCCATTGTTCCACAAAACGCTAACGATACATTAAAAAAATATTGCTGCTCTCCAACATTTATTTCTGTGCTCCAAGTAATTAGAGTGCTATGCATGGCATTTCTCAATGAGGCCAATCCTTAACAAACTCACTTTATATGTGGAAAATGGAATTTTATAAACTTTTATTCACACGTTTTAATTTCACATAATTCAGTTTCCTATAATAGGAACATTCTAGACAATAAAAAAGTTGATAATTGAACTAGAAATACAAAGAATATTTTAGAAATGTCTCAATAACAATTTGTTTAATAATCATAATTATGGTAATAAGAAAATCTATATCATTGTTTAACTATATACTAGAATATGATAGATCATTGTTATGGAGCTAACAATAAAAATTAATCCTATAAATATATATATATTGCAATTTTAAATATAAACTATATACAAATGTGGCGAAAGATAATCGATGACTATAGGTTGTAATATCTAAATGATTTGTTTGAAATTAATTTGAATTTTTTACGGTCTAAGTAGTATGTTGCAATTTTCTCAATTTGTATGGCCGCTAAGTTATTCGGTATTCAAACAAATGAAATCTTTAACATCCACAGTGGGTTCTTTTCAAGTAACCCGGGAATTTCTTGCTTATTAGAAGCAAAGAAGATTAATATAATTATATACTGTTTTGCGTCAGGGAAACGATGTTATCTTCCACATTTTTGATCAGATTCAAGGTAATAATACACGAAAAGTTATTTAAGAGATGTACGCGTTTTTTTGTATTGCAGTGTACTGTCTTTGGGCGGTAATGTTAACACAAGACGGATGTCACAGCCTGACATGGAATCCATTTTCAATAAAACCAATCTATGAAATATTCTGGTAGTAGGAAACTATTGAGAAAAAAAAGCGAAAAGCGAAATTTCGCAAAAACACAGCTGCGAAAAAGCATGATAAGGCAGTATTGCGCGAAATGACATTTTTGAATGAGTGCGCAAATTGCTGCTTTTTTCGCGCAAGTGTTACGCAACAAATTTTAATATTTTATGTTTTTTTAGGGGCACCCTGTAAATACACAAGGAAAATTGGATACACATTTTTGGCCCGTGTAGATATTAAGTTTACCATGTCACGTTTTTCAATCTTTAAAGAGAAGTTTTATACATTTCGAAATATCAAAATTAATAGATAAAAAAATTGCTTTGAAAAATGTAAGATCAAGATCAGTTGAAATTAGGTCTTCAGTCTTCTTTAACCAAAAAAAATCGTTTAGTTTGTATTGTATACATAAGAAAATAAATTTATTTCATGCTTTCATTAGAATATAAAAATCAGTAAAATATAGAAAAATAGAAAAATGTAAGATCAAGATCAGTTGAAATTAGGTCTTCAGTCTTCTTTAACCAATAAAAATCGTTTAGTTTGTATTGTATACATAAGAAAATAAATTTATTTCATGCTTTCATTAGAATATAAAAATCAGTAAAATTTTGAAAATCTTTAACAAATAGAGAACAATATGAAAAAAAAACAATATCACAACCATTTAATATCTTTCTGTTCATTTTCTTCTCGTCTTTTGTTTTCTAATTGCTCCAACTGCTCTTCTAACAACCTTTTAAACAAAAATAAAATATTTTCAGAATTTGAGAATATCTATTTACAGTACAGTGGGACACAGAAAGCTGTGGAATATAAGGTATAAACTTTGAAAAGTCGAACGAACATATGTACATAATCTCATATTTCACTTACAGAGTGTCCCATATCATATTGGATTGTCTCCAAGCTTTAACGCCAAAATACGCACATAATAATGGAAAAACCTGGTATTTTCTCCATACAAATTTTATATTAGCCTGATAGAAATATTTAAAATGGATAATTCTTTTTTAATTTTTAATTCAGAGCTGTAAACAATCTAATACAGTGGTAGGCGATTATATCAATACAATGAGGACAACCTTCGATTTCAATCTTAATTGATATCAAGCTTTTAAACAGCATGGATACACATAAACATGAAAACAAAGAGAATCTATCAATAAAAAAAGCTTTTCTTTGATTACTTGTAAACTTGTAATTCGAAAAAAACTTGTAAATAAGCAAAACTTAAATACAAAAGGCGTCTTCATTGTATCGATATAAACGCATACCACTGTATGATATAAATAAACATAGATAGCTTATGTACGCAAAATCACCAAGAATTGTACTGTCCGCGAACTCATACTTCTTGAGGTCAAAGTGTACTTCAATACTTGGTGTTTTAATGGATTTCATAATAGAGTGTAAAATAACTCCGGGAATGGAACTATTTGAACAACAATATTTCACTGAGCAATATATCATATTGACGAGAACTGAAGACGGACATGAGAAGGACTAAACTAACTTAAATTTCTCTCTACAGAACTCATGTACACCACAAGTACTCAATGACATAATAACAGCCAATGTTCACGACCGACCTAGTTAATCTATATAATAGGAATATCTTTAAAACATCTCTGTACATTTATATCTTTCAAGATGAAAAATGTCATCTTATGCGCAATCTATCTTTATCTATGGATAGTTCCCACTGTCAACAAATATTCAGAAAATCAAAAAAAATTATTTGCAACAAAAACATTTAAATAGCCCTTCCTTTTTAAAATGAAAAAAAGATGTGCACATTCCAATTCTAGTAATTGAACCAGGGGTTTAGAAAATATATTAAATAAATAAATAGTTAACAAGGTAACTTCACACAGATAAATACAGTAATTGATATAAATGTCGTCATCCTTTCACTGACTCTGGGTAAAGTCTATTTCCAATATGTAAATATTTAAATTAATCAAGAATATGGATGTTATGATTTTCATTTTGTATTTTCCTGTATTATCTGTATTTATAATATTATTATATAATATTATTAAGCATGAATGCTTTGTTTACTGAATTCTAATAAAATAATAAGAATTTTCTTTCTTTAAATTCTTTCTTTAAATATAGGAGAAATTATCCATAGAGCTGTAAATATATAGAGCTGTTTGTATACAGAGTAGTTTTTACCTATCCATAGAGCTAATAGTATAAAGAGTAGTATTTACAAAATGTTAAAATTACAGTTCTCTGGCTCTATCCATAGAGCTGTGAGTATATGGAATAGTATTACCTGATACCTATCCATTAAGCTATCTGCAGTAATATTGAGTAGCACTAACCTATCTACCGTTGTTTCTCTGTTACTATCCATATTAGGTATATAATGTATAAGTATTTACCTTTATCAATGGAGGTGTAAGAATATAGAGTGTAGTAATAACCTATCTTCAGATCATTTCCCTGGAGCTGTAAGAATATAGAGTCCAAATAACCTACCTACAATTTTTTTCTATGGTACTAATCAGTATCCATAGAGTTGTAAGTATATGAAGTAGTATTTACTTATTTACAATTTTTTCTCTGTTACTATCAAGTATCCATAGAGCTGTAAAGATATAAAGTAGTATTTACTTATCAACAGAGCTGTAAGTGTATAGAGTAGTATTAGTTTTTTTTCTGGTACTATCCATAGAGCTGTAATTATATAGAGTATTATTTACCTATCTACAGCATGTTTCTCAGGCACCATCCATAGAGTTGTAATTATATAGAGTATTATTTACCTATAAACAGTATGTTTCTCTGGTACTATCCATAGAGTTCTAATTGTACAGAGTATTATTTACCTATCTACAGTATGTTTCTCTGGTACTATCCATAGAGCTGTAATTATATAGAGTATTATTTACCTATCTACAGTATAATTCTCTGGCACTATCCATAGAGCTGTAATTATATAGAGTAATATTTACCTATCTACAGTATGTTTCTCTGGCACTATCCATAGAGCTGCAAGAATGAAGAGTATTCCACCAAGTACAAGAAGAACAAAGACTAAGTAAAGAGCTTTCTGCATACCCAAGTAGGAACTCTAGAAAAACAGACGAGATAAATTTTTCAGCAAGATCAATAACATGCAGGCGATGCAGGCCACACATTTAAGGCCATTATCAGCCCAAATCTTGAATAAATAGTTTTGATAAAACTATTGGAATCGTCGAAAAAAAACAGCATTTTCGCAGTATTTTTTAAGTTTTTTTCAACATAAAAACATTTTGCAGAAAAAGGTTGAGTTTTACTTATTACTTGTTTTTGTATTTGAGACCTTGTAGCCCATCCCAAAAATCTGTTTGAAGCAAATTGAAAAATCAAAACTCATAACTTCTTTGTTCTTCTTAAAGGGACTGTAAGTATACTTTCAAATGACCTTCCATTTATAGAGTAACATGTCCGAAATACAACGATTTGTTTGGTTTCAGATTTCGTAGATATTTTTAGTTTTATAGCGGGAAATTAAGTGGCTAAAAACCGCGCAAGTGTAAACTAGCACCGAGAGTACAGTGTACACTGTAACCTCAAGTCTCCCGGCACTTCTACATATAAATTTGGCTTGTCTGGGTGTCTGTTTGTTTGTTTGTCTGTCTGTCTGTTTGTATCCAATAAACGTCAAAACGGCTGAACCGATCGGGCCCAAATTTTTTGTGGGACATCTAGGGACCCCAGGGAAGGTTTATGAAAAATCAAAATTTCAAATATTTGTCTCCATCAAAATTCGATCGTCATTAAATTTTTAAAAATTTTGAAAATCCGCGAAATTTTTTGTGAAAATCCGCGAATTATTTTTGTTTTGTTTTACGATGTACACAAAGAGAACATGTTCACAACTAATTTAGAAGATGGGCGCGAAGCGCCCTCTAAGGCTAGTAATATTAAGTTTTACAAAATACGAATGAGGGCATCTACCTCATCGTTGACCGGACAAAGGTTTAAAGTGTATAGTTGTGAATCGGACTTGCCTCTCTATAAATGAAAGGTCAATTAAAGTTACGCTAAAAGCCACTTTAATTTTTAATATTACGAGTTATGATTAAAAACATGCAATAGTTCTGTTTAACGTAAAATTAACTTACCAAGCTTGAATCTAAACAATCTTGGTCATCTTCAGGACAGCTTGACTTAATAATGCTCTAAATATATAATTTTTGTCATTTTATTAAATTTAAATGGAAAAGGTGAAGGTTTAACTGTTTATCGTGTTTGGACAAAAATGACGAATAAGTGCTTTAATGCCAAGTATTCGGTGGTATTGGAGAAATAAAAATGGAATGGTTTTCAGAACTATATCATACAGGCATAAATCATGAGAGATGTTTCAAATGATTTGATTTAAATATTGTAGATTAACATAAACTTAAATATTCAGAAAATAAATTAACAATCCTTTTAAACTTACATCTGAGATGATAAACACTCCCTTTAAACTTACAAAATTGATGATTACTCCCTTTATACTTTCAAAATATATAAAAATACCCTCTAAACTAACAAAATGTGAAGGCACTAAACTTTAAAAAATCGATGAACACTCCCTTTAAAATTACAAATTTGATGAACAGTCCCTAAAACTTTCAAAGTTAATGAACAGTCACTCCCTTTAAACTACCAAAATTGATGAACACTTCTTTTAAACTTACATCTAAGACAATATCTCTCTCTCCAATCCCTTTAAACTTACATCTGAGATGAGACCTATGATATAAGGAGCTCCAGCTTCTCCAAGAGCATGGGTGGCCATCAGATGAATAGCTTCAGCAGTTGACCGCCGTACAGGTATTATCACATACCTAATCAATCAATCAATATATCAATCAACCAATCAATCAATGAATCAATCAATATATTTATCAATCAATATATCAATCAACTAATTAATATATCAATTAATTAATATATCAATCAACTAATTAATATATCAATCAAGCAATTAATATATCAATCAATTAATTAATATATCAATCAATTAATTAATATATCAATCAACTACTTAATATATCAATCAATTAATTAATATATCAATCAATTAATTAATATATCAATCAATTAATTAATATATCAATCAACTTATTAATATATAAATCAATTAATTAATATATCAATCAATTAATTAATATATAAATCAATTAATTAATATATCAATCAATCTATCTATCAATAGATTAACCATCATACCAATCAACAAATCAAACTAACAAATCATACCAATTAACAAATGAATCAATCAATGGGTTACCATCAGATAATCTGCTTCAGCAGTTGACTTCCGAACAGGTATTATCACATATATAATCAATCAATCAATTGATGGGTGGTTATCAGATAAATAGCATTAGTTGTTGACTGCCAGACAGGTATTATCACATAAATAATCAATCCATCATCAATCAATCAAAACATCTAAAAAAATGTGAAGCTCTCACAATCAACAATTTTAGTGTTCACCAATAGATTATTATTATATCCTTTCTAACTATCAATTTTGGAAAATAGCATTTGTCAAAAGAATTTATAACTAAAAAGAGCTGGATCCGGTTATGGTAAACACAAACCCAGAACTACAGAGACATCAAAAAAACTATAAAATGTTGTATTCACAATTTTTCAATGAAAAAATAGATATCTACAACATTTCATAATCTATAGGTTCAGAATACAACAATTTTATAAATTCTTTAGATGTATCTGAGGTTCTGGGTTAATCTGCATGATATTTGGGTCGATGTGTGACGGGCCAACTTTCCAAAACTTAGAAATTGAGAATAAAAAGCAAATAAAAAAGTAATACTTACAGAGACATGTCCACCGAAATTGACCAATTCATATTGAGGAAGGTTGAGCCAAGAGTAAAGATTGCAAAAGAGAGAATAATATTATCCTGAAAAAATATCAAAATTGAAAGACTTCTGATAATTTTCTAAAACCGCTTCAATAATGAAGTAATAAACAGATGTGTACTTAGGGGGTGGGGATATTGGGACTTTGTTTGGACTGTGCATATGCAAATGAGATCTTAATACTTTTGAAGCACCCTGTATTGCAATCCCAGGGGCTGCAGACCAGACAGGTTCTCACAGAAATATATATCAGGGATGAAAATACATCCCAAGTATTTGTAAAATATATATGGTACATGATGACATAATATGTTCATGTAGAGATTATTTTCATCTACATAAAGTATTCCTTTAAGTAAAAGTTTCATTTGAGATACCATACTGAACTTAGTTCTGGCCAAACTCTAGAGTATGATCAGTTAAAAAGTAAAGTTGATATAACATAGGAAATGGAATCTGTAAGAGACCCCAATATGGACCCCTCAGACCGCCGCCAGATATGGGAAGCACCGTCCCGCTACCAGTTATACTGCCTTACCTTTAATCCCACCAAGTTTTCCCCAGCTGCATGTTCCTTTACTCTGTCTTTCATTGGTTTGAATCCTGCATCCATGTATAAATTATCATGGTTATGATTATTTAACAAATAGTTTTTGAGTCTATTGACATTTTTTTAACAACACATTGTTATTTAGATCATTGCGGATCCTACTCTGTTCACAAAACCTGAAGTTGATATTGGGAGAAGATTCCACCAATACTGAGGTAACATTGATGGAGAAGTTTTCGAAAAACTTCATGCCCAAGGAGGCCAGAACTGCTGTCCAAGACCAAAAGCAAATACAGAATCAAAGGTTCCAAACTCTTTTTAAAATACTCAAACCTATAAAGGATCTTCTGAATCCCTCCCCAGATTCCAAAATGCTGGGAACCCTAAAAGAAAACAACTCAACCAAGATACAACTATCTTTAGCGATAGATAGTAGGCTTTTAAAGATAACACTCCTCCTGGAAAGCCCTATCAACTCAGATGTGTGTTTCCAAGGAGAAGAGGCGCAGTATAAACTAAGGTGAGGATGTTGTATGAGCTGTTGCTGGGACTGATGATCCTGAGAACCATCTACTGAAAAAACTTAGGATTCAATTCTAGAATTTGAAACAAATGATTACAGATCTTGACCTACAGAACGGAGAGATAATGCTGGTACTAAAGATCACATCCAAGTTTGAGTAAAGTTTAATCTCTGTACTCAGTGATTGCAGTAATGTTAATGCTGAGTTAAAGAAATACAGAGAACTCTTGCAGAACACCTGTCAGTTCATTCCCCAAGATTTTGGCTCTGTTATAAAGAAATGCTTAAATTGCAAGATATCAAACTCTCTTCTTTCACTGGGAAAGAAGAGGATAGTGAAAGAAGAGGATTATTTATTTCCATTCCAAGTCTGAGTTTTGGATATTCTTAAAAATTCCAGGAATGACCCATCTTCACAATGTCAAGGCTGAATGTTGTCCCAAAATTGTTATAAATTGAACAAGTTTAAATGGGATTTTTCAGTGTTTGGATGAGCGTCTGGGCAATCCTGATTGCTATGCTCTGCGCATCATAACAAGCATTGAAAGGTTCCCTGCAGTTGTGAAAGTTTCTACAAGCATAGTTGCTTTTTTCAGATTTTATTGAAAAAATTTCTGGCGACATTACTGGTGCAAATGTACTTATCTAAGATAAAATCAAAGTTTACACTACACCAGTGATGTCCCAGGATTATATTGGGATCTGTAGTTCAAAAACTAAACTAAGCAGTGTCCAGGAATGGGAGAACATACTTTCATTTCTAAAGCAAGAAAGAGACATTGCACTGAAAATTTCAAGTTTTGAGTCTAACCCCTAATATGACAAGAAAACAGGTTTCTAACCTATCAAGGATTAAAATAATCCAAAACTGTTGTTTCGCAACTCCTGTTGCGAGAAGGACCAGTTTATCATCCCTGTACAACACCTTATTTACCCCTGGATTTGGTGTTTGTCGCAAGAACAAAGAAGCTTCCAGAAACTTGTATTTTCTAGTTTATATAGTATAACAGGTTTTGAGTCTGTACTGTGTTGGCCTGAATTATCAGTATTCTTAAACTTTTTGTAGTTATATATGATCGCTACGATTATTTATTTACTGTGAAGTGTTTTGAGGACCAATGTGGTGAGTTATATTTATTATCTGTATTATATCGATATTTATTCCAGGTATTATAGTCTTTTGCTACAGTTTTTTAATGCCTAAGTAAATTGTTGTTTGTTTGAAAGTAAAATTTGATAGACGTTAGTTTACTTAAAGTTTTTTCTGTGGCTTATAATACTTTTTTCCATCTATATATTGTTAAATTTGTAGATTGAACTGCGTAATAAAACTTGAAGACTGATCCTGACTTTATTATGGAAAGATCAAAGAGCAGAGCAGCTTCCAGTCAGATCCGTAGGAACACCACACTGAATATCCTTACTCATATCTAGGGCAACTGGGTTGTTGCAAAACAACTGTAATGCAAAGTGTGTCTTGTGCAATGGATCAAATCACCTTCCTTTTAACCCAGTTTGCATGAAAACTGGTAAGAAATTTTCATGTGATACTTTGTCACTGATTACAAGGCAAAAAATTTCCCAATTTGCCTTTATCCAGATAGCAAAAAGCGGCCTTGTTTTAGCTATGCTCGGTTTAATAACGCCTGGTTTAAATAATTACTTTATTAACTGACAAAATACAAATTTTAGTTTAAGTTATCGGGAATGAATTTTTCAAGGTGACGTGGCAGTATTGAAGCATGTCTTGCCGTGCTAGAATATCCGGCTTCAGACTCTTCATGTTGGATCGTCTTTCGCCACAGTACTCCCCCCAAGAAGGCAAGGCGGAGTCACGGCGGAGCAAGGGCTTCTTTCATGACTTGTCTGTGAGGATTCCTTCTTGGTATAATTATAGGTTTTAGACTTCTTCTAGGAGGCGGATGACTTCGCGGCGGATGAATGATCAGGAGGATCCTTTGATTGTTGAAGAGGAGGACGTCCTCGAGGCGGAGGGGCTAAAGGAATCACTGGAGGTCTGGAATTCGGAAACTGCTGTTGTATGTTTGACCAGAGGAGAGCAACCCGTAGCAGATACGAGATGACCCAGAAACTCTATCGCAGGAACCACAAACTCACACTTCGGCAGGCCGATAGTCAGTCCATGCTGTTGACATAAGAGGAGGACTTCACGGAGATGATCTACATGTTGTTCTAGGCTGCTGCTGAAGATTAGGATATCATCGACATAAGTGAAACAATAGGGTAGATCGCCGAGGATGGAATCCATCATTCTCTGGAACGTGTTCCCTGCATTCCTGAGGCCAAAGGGCAGGCAAAGGAACTCGAACATGCCGAAAGGCGTGATGATCGCTGTCTTACAAATGTCTTCTTCCACCATCGGTACCTGGTAATATCCCTTCTGCAAATCCAGCTTGGAGAAAACTGTAGAACCGGCGATCCTCGATGAAAAATCTGCTGTATTAGGTAACGGATAACGATCAGGGATTGTAACTGTGTTCAGTCTCCTGTAATCTCCACAAGGACACCAGCCTCCATCCTTCTTCTTGACCATGTGGAGGGGGGAAGACCAAGGAGAGTTGGATCTACGTATAATACCCGCCTTCTCCATGGCGGAGAACTCAGCTTTGGCGGATGCCAACTTCTCTGGATCCAATCGACGGGCTCTTGCAAACACTGGAGGACCCGGCTGCGTGAGGAGATGATGTTTGACTCCATGACGAGGTTTAGAGGCTGTAAAACCTTCAGAAGAGGCTACGTCTGGAAATTCGGCAAGCAGGTCCTGGATGCACTTTGGGGTGGTGAGGAGATTGGCCTTGAGTAGAGCTGACGTGGAGTCTGGAGCAGTTGGAAGGACGATGGACGAATAGCTTGGTGAATCGGGGGCTGAAAACCCTCTGGTTTGAAACATCTAATAACAGGTTGAAATGCTTCAAAAAATCAGCGCCCAGGATGGGAATGGCTACCAGAGCAAGCTGGAAGGGCCAATCAAACCTGTGGGCTCCAAATCGTAGAGGTATAATCCGAGAACCAGAGCATGTGAGCGAGGAACCGTCTGCTGTAAGCAACCTGACTCCTGACGAGGTAGAAGAAGAGCGTGGAGCAGGAAACACTGATACCGAAGCACCAGAATCTATCAGGAATCTTCGTGAACTGAGTGAGTCTTGTAAATAAACCAAAGGAGTTGAAGTAGTCGGCCCGGCAGGAAGGGTATCAAGATCCTCCTGCCGGTGAACTAGTTTTTCAACCAGGAACACGGAGCTCTGCATTTCTTCGCCTTTGAACTCCATGATCGATGGTAATAGCACATGGTAGGAGACTGGGAGCGGCTATCCTGGCGGCTGCTGGCGTGAGGAGTAGCAGAGCGTCGGGAACGGTTAGGAACTGATGATCTAAAGGCGTTGACAGAGTGTTGGTCTTCCGGAGTGCTGGAAACGGAGTAGACTTGAGAAGAGGAGACTCTGCTTTGGTATATTTCATCTGCTTTAAGGGCGAAAGAGATGGGATTGGAGAAATCGTCTCTGAGCAAATGGGCGCGAATATCGGTGGGCAATCTCTTGAGGAAGGCTCCTTTAAGAAAGAAACAAGGTTCGTGACCAGCCGGAAGCAGGGCAAGCATGTTTGACATTAACTTAGAGGGCTTCATATCCCCAGATAACGGAAGGTTAGAAATCGCCTCGTACCTCTGGAAGTCCTCGAGGGCGAAAAACTTCAGCAACCGATTCTTCAGAGCTTCGTAAGGACCAGCAGCGGGAGGAGACTTGATAAGATTGAGAACCTGGTTAGCCGTGTCCTGGTTGAAGGAGGAGACACAGTAGTAAAACTTTGTAGAACTGGCTGTCACTCCCTTGAGCGCGAACTGGGCCTTGACTTGAATGAACCAGGCCTCCGCAGACTCTGGCCAAAAGGCCGGAACTTTCACTGATACTGTGTTTAATAAATCCAACGAGCTGGGTTCAGCTAGGGCTTGGACGATATCACTGTCCTTAGGCATTTCACTTGACGAGCGTGTAGCTATAAAAAAGTCTATAATGGCACAAACAAAACAGTCTATTTGCCTATAGTTTTGAACTAGGGGTCACCAATTTATTGACAATATCAGCTACACAGTAGACCGGGATGTAAGAATGGTGATGGGTCAAATTGCACACGCCTATATGTGACTGTAATGCAGCCAAAAATCTGCACAGTAAACTGAACAGCCAGGTGTCTGTACTCAGGTAGTCAGGTACTTCTATAATATAATGGTGCAACAGACAGTGTCTGTTTCCTCTGGATCAGGGAAATCTATTGGAAAGCAAGATACATTTAAATTAAAGGATAAAAGTAATTAAGAGAAAACATATAGAAACACTTTCTGAATGTTGTCTTTGATAGTCCTTAAATTTATAAAAGTTCAAGAAAAGATATGCAATCGTTTTAACAAATGTTTGGAGCACAGGTAAAATAAATTTGGACACTCCACACGGTATTCCAAACTTTTTCAACCTTTATTCAAAACATGGCACCCTGTATTCAAAACTTTGCCAACCTGTATTTAAAACATGGCACCATGCATTCTGAACATGCCACCCTATTTTCAAAACTTGCCACCCTGTATTCAAAGCTTGGCCCCTGTATATAAACCTTGCCACCCTGAATTCAAAACTTTTTACTCATTATTTAAAATTTACCATTATTATAAACTTGTCAATCTGTATTTAATACATTCCACCCTGTATTCAAAACATGCCACCTTGTATTCAAAACTTGCCACCCTGTCTTTAAAACAGGCCACCCTGAATGCAAAACTTAACACCCTGTATTTGAAACACACCACCCTGTATATAAAAATGTCACCCTGTATTTAAAACATGCCACCCTGTATATAAAAATGTCACCCTGTATTTAAAAATGCCACCCTGTATATAAAAATGTCACCCTGTATTTAAAACACGCCATCCTGTATTCAAAACTTGTGACCCAGTATTTAAAACATGCTACATTGAATTTAGAACTTACCACCCTGTATTTGAAACACGTTACACTGTATATAAAACTTGTCACCCAGTAAATAAAACTTGTCACCCAGTACTTAAAACATGCTACCTAGAATTCAAAACATGCCACCCTGTATTTAAAACATGCCACCCTGTATTTAAAGCTTGCCACCCTGTGTTCAAAAGTTTAACCTTGACTGAGAGTAGACCCCAGATGAGTAAGGGACAGCTGATGAGTATACTGACACCACAAATCAACGGATCTATCCTGAAAAAAAACTAAAATGTAAAATCTTGTGAAAATTATCGAAAGGAGAGAGGTTTCAAGGCGTCTAAAAACGATTTAAAGTTGTTTTAACCCTTAGAAGATTGATGAAGACATCCATTTTTTTCAATAGAGCTTTCTCTTAATAAATAACTAGTAACTTAGGAACCCAGCGTTGCCCAGGGTACTCATAATTGGTCGATTTTAACCGGGAAACTAAATTTTTGCTAAAGAAGCGATCCACTCAACTAAGACTATATCAAGGACATTCCCGTCGCTCTCCCGAGTTCCCCAATCAAAATTTGAGGCCAATCGCACCACCAGGGGTTCTTGAGTTATGATCGGAAAACAAACTAGCATAGAGACAGACAGAGATTATAACTTTATATAACTTTATATATATAGATTCGCAGTTGTAACAAAGAAGAAAATTAACAGAAATCATACCTTTTTAAAATAAAACAACGATTTTTATTCAGAGAAAGGTTTTGTAACAAAATATAGAAATATTGTCTCACAAATATCTCTCAGGCTAATATTGTTTTCAATGGTGTCAGTTTTCACAGGATATTTTTTAAACCTATGGCAAGTGGTTGTGCAAGGCCCATGCAGATCGAAAAAAAATCCATACAGCTTTAAAAAAAAAATTCTTATATATCATTTTCAAGAAATATTTTTTTTGAGCTATGTAGACTTTTTTTGCGATCTGCACGGGCCTTGCAGGACCACTTCCCAATAGTCTAAAAAATATCTTGTGATAACTGACATCATAGAGAACAATATTAGTAAAGTTGGACTGGAAAATGGGGTACACTAGTAAACATGCATGAAGCAACTATCGAATAATTATATAGTTATATATATATAATTATATATATATAACTATATAATTATATATATATATATCTATATAATTATATATATATAACTATATAATTATATATATATATATCTATATAATTATATATATATAACTATATAATTATATATATGTAACTATATAATTATTCGAAATTAACTCGACAGTTTAATGTTAAATCTTCCAAGCTCTTTATTAACCTTAAAGGGACTATCGTCAGAATTAAAGGTGACTACATAGAAATAGTGCTGTGTGGAATGTCCTAAACACAACCTGTTTAATAATGTGGAAGATGTGCAAGTCCCTTTTATAAGACGAGAAACCAAAAATTAAAATAATCAGTTTGCAAAACAAAAACATGGATATATAATCCATATTTAATCAGCCAGAACTTTTAGGGTACTTTTGTGAATAATACATGCCACACAACAGCGTTTCGCTTAAAACTACGCATATAATTTAAAATTGCTGAAAAAACTTACTTAGGATATTTTGGCCTAAGGATCCTTGAAAGCGTCATTCCCCCCAGTACACCAAGAATTCCTAGATAAATAAAATAAATATTAGCGATTTTTGAATAATAATAAAATAATAATGGTAACAAAAATTACCGGGGAAAAAAACAACAACAATAATAAGAAAATAATATAATCAATGAAAACTCAACGAAAATAATAATGTTTTACAACTACCAAACAGAAAAGTTAAAGGGAGTGACCGGCTATGTAAGGTAGTTGAACTGAGGACGCAGTGTTGTGGAAAACTTCTTTAGGATTCATTTGAGACATATTTCACTTTTTAAAATTCTGTAAATCCTCAGTTTGAGCGCAAATTCAACGTTCAATACTCCTGATTTGGGGGTGGATACGCTTTCAGAATTAGTTTTTTTAAATTATTAAATAACGACGACATAAAATGTAAAAATATTCTACAATAAACTACAGACGTCATGTTTAGGAACATTTTGAGAAAATAAAAATTAATTTTATCATCGAAAATAAATAATCTTGTTCAATTATTAGTTTCTATTATCTCATTATTCTAGTTTCTCTTAATTCACAAAGATGTTCGCAGATTCTCTATAACTATATTTGAAAAGACGACATTTAAAGAATTTGAAGAAATCTGCGAATAAATTCAAAGAAAATTAAAAATTCAATATAATAAGGAAAACGAAATAATCGATTTTAGCATTGATTTATAGACAAATTTCTTTTGTGAAATATGTTCCTAGCCATCTAATTAGATTACTGTTTAATTTTTACTTTACTTTTCGTTGTCGTTATTTAATAATTTAAAAAAACTAATTCTGAAAGCATACTCAGTTCAATTACCTTACATAGCCGGTCACTCCCTTTAAAGAAACTTTAATTAACCAATGGTTCCCATTTCCCAGGACCAATTTTGCAAACAAAATATCCACAACGTTTTGTCGAGGGAACCCGTGGTTATGCCAAATTTTCAATTTCCAGAAAAAGAAGTTGTACACAATTTTATCGTCTTTTGAGAAAAAAATCCGCGAATTTTTTACTGAAAACGGTTATTTTACTTAATTGTCCCAAGGGACGTAAAGTAGAGAATCATGGGTCCGTAATGTTGGCCAAAAAAGCGGTGTAAATAACAACAATAATAACATTTTTTACAACAATAATTTTGTAAAAATGAAAAATATTTATAAAAATACTACCTGAGACCATAAGAACAGCTCCGAATATGAAGGCTACACTATCTGGATGTATTGGTACTCCCTCCAAATCTGTTAAAAATCAAGCATCATTATTTAAAGGGACTGTAAGCCTAACTTCATGTGACCATGCATGCAAAAATGACGATAACTGATTTACAATGGTACCCTTGAAACCTTGTTTGAATTAGGAATTCAATGTTTTTGTTTGTCTTGCACATTTCTTGATCATAAGAAGTATTGGAGAAACTCACAGAAATAATCACTTTTCTTCTACATTTGTTTCAAGGGTACCGTTGTAAATCGGGCATTTCCATCTTTGCTTGAAATTACGTTCATAGTCCAACCAAGAAAGAAACTGAGTTAATGCTCTCTAAAGTCTAAAAATGTCTAACTCTTATATCTTTGCAACCTGAGTGCAAAACGTATGTGTTGCCCAGAACTTATTTGCTTCCTTGGCGGATTTAAGATGTAATAGTACCCAAATATAAGATTTTACGCCATTTGTTTTGAAATTGATGTCACGAGGGGAGGAAGGCGACCCGCACCCGTTTGACATCCGACCCGTAGATGACGTCACAAAACGTGTTTGCAGCATGCACTTACCCCTTTGTCGTCCGACCCTCACCCGTTGGCCTTCCGGAAAAATGTCTTAATTTGTAAAGGCAATTATTATAAGTCTGAAATAGTTTTTTTTTTCTTTTAGGCCGCGTCAGTCAGGCACAACTGGTTTTATTTAAAATTTAAAACTTTTAAAATATAAATTTTAATTGATTTGTTAACAAATAAAGCCTTTTTTAGATTACAGCATAATCTTTTACTGAATCGCACACCAAAATGCGAGATTTTATTCGAGCAATGATTTTTTCTTAGAATTTCAAATCTTTATGCGAGTTGATTTTTGTCATCTATTATATACCCAAATACATTTATAAAGAGTAAATTGCGAAAACCGCATTTATTACCATGGGATGTTCAACGTCGGTGAAAACTGCAAAGTCATATAAAAAATATTATATTTTCAGGAAAAAAATTACTTGGTCCTCAGATAAGCGACAATGTTCACTTTTTCATTTTTAGCATTTTTCGGACCATGCAAACACATGAAGTTTTTTAAATTCTACAATAAAAGTCGTCTTTAAAAAGATTATAAAAGTTTACTTGCAGAAAATACTAGGTTTTTTGAGTGTTATGTGCGCATTTTGGCGTTAAAGCTTGGATATAATCTAATATGATATGAGACGCTCTGTATTACCTATAAATCTTATGAATATAAATGTGGGTCGGAAGACACACAGGTAAGTGACGTAAATAGCGCAATGCTGCAAATATAATCTAAAATGTTGTTTGATCTGAATTTTAAAACTATCGCTGATTTCAGCAGGTAGATGTGGTACTGTTACAAACAAAAAATATCATGAATAAGTTTATTATATGAGAGATATCATGACGTCTTTATTAATTTTAAATTACTGCTTCATTCGTCTATAATTAGCAAATACAAATTAAGAAATTTTGCCGGAAGGCCAACGGGTGAGGGTCGGACGGCATAGGGGTAAGTGCATGCCGCAAACCCGTTTTGTGACGTCATCTGCGGGTCGGAAGTCAAACGGGTGCGGGTCGCCTTCCTCCCCTAATGTCACTAAACCAAAAAATCAATGGAGAAAACTACATAAGCAATTTTAATTTCAATAAATTGAAAATTGTGTTTTTATTTTAAAATTCTTTTTTACATATTTTTGCTTATACAGGGTTTAATTCCATTTATTTTTATCAATACAACATAGCAGTCACTTTTTAGAAGTGATTTAGAGTTTTTTAGGCTTTAAAAGACTCCACAATATTCTGAGAAGTTTGTTGTTAGTTCTAAACATTTGATTTCTATCACTCTGCAAAACCTTAACCCAGAGAAAATATAAATGTAAAAAAACGAACCTTAAGTGTTTAGGTTCGTTTTTAACTTTCTCTTAGATTTTTAAATCTTCTCTTAGATTAATAAGTTCGCATATATTAATAAATACAAACTTTTACAGAATACGGTTCTGATATGCTAGAACCATCACAGAAATTCATTAGAAATTCATTCTTGCCCTTCATTAGTCTTAACGCTCAATGCCCAGACTACTGTTGAATAAATATATATACAACCCCCCTTACCGTATGTCTACTAACATTGGAGTTGTCACAATTGTCTTCTTACCTGTATCGTATTTCTACTCAAATTGGATTTATCAAAATTGTTTTCTTACCTGTACCATCTAAATCCATTGTTTTGTTGTAGCTCTGAATTCCCTGAACATTCAAATTTTCCAATTCTTGATTAATAATATATTATTGTGTTGAAGAGATTGTTTATGGGTTATCTACAAAAATTTCGATTGCAGAAAAACATGAAATAATTATCAGAATTAAATACTTTTAAACCTAGAAAAACAGCAATATCTTCTACATTATTGTTTAGATAAAGGTTTTAAGGGCACCGTTGAGAATAGAGTATGGAGGGACAATAAAATTAAGTTTATAGTCCCTTTAATAGATTAAAATACCTACTTATATAGTATAGTTTAGTATAGTCGGTCAACCTGAGCAGACGTGTGTGTGTGAGCTCCAGATGACTGGTTAACTGGGAATTCTACCCTTTAGACAATATGTCAAACCTGTCACTCTGAACCGTTAACACAAACATAAAAAATGGCGAATCTTCTTCTTTCCCTAGTTACACTTTTAAAGTACTGTGCTCCATCAATCAATAGTGAAGATTTATCAGTGCTTGATTCATCACTAAAACGTAAACTGTCACCTCTTCACCATCATATTTCAAGATGTACCGATCCAGCAGATTTAGCAACATTAGGAGACCAGCTTCCCATTCTGCTTACAGAATTCCTGGAAGAAAACAAAGAACTGTTTGCTGATGAGAAAAAACAGCATTCAAAATGTTTTATCTCCCATCCTAATAAGACCCTCACTGAACTTCAACATCTTAAAAAAGTTTTGAGAAAGAAAGCCTTTTCCAGAGCCGGCACTGATGAGGACAGGAAAAAGTTCCATTCCTGTCTGAAAGCAATTAGTGAGCTTAAAAAAGTTGAAAAAAGAAGACTCCTTCTCAAAACTACCACAC